AACATCCATATAGAGTCCCCTATTATGAGACAGGCTCCTAATACGAGACAGCGGGATCTCTGCTAAAATAATAGGCATCATCTTCCACCGTGAATTTATTGCCCTTGGAGTGACTTAGGTCCGGTTTCACCAACGTTGTTTAACTAGAAGCTTAGCTTAATTCGTTCTTTGTCTCTTTTCAACTGTTACTGTAGAAAGAGACAAGCCTGAATTAAACTAAGATTAAGTAGTGTTAAACGACATTTGGTGAAACCGGGCCGTACTGTCTCACATCAGAATTCTATCTCATAATGGAGGACTTTTCTCTATATAAATCAATTAATTTGAGTTCAACGGGGCCAGCTTTCTTTCGACGTTGACGTAAGAAACAATCCGTCACGTGAGAGGAAAGATCGGGTGCGCGAGGAACGCGCTGAATCTGCAATTTTACAGTCCGCGGTGCAACGCGTTTCGCCCTCTCTTCTCTCTCGCTCTACCCCGCACCCCAACAATGCGCCGTAGACAAAACGACGTCGGCGGATAATAAAGGCATCGCGTGTGCATAATTATCTGGTGTACCTTCCTGGAATTAATTTCGAGCTTCGCTGGAAGAGCTTTTTTTCGCTTGCCCCTGTCCGTTAACTCGGTACGTCACCCTCTCTGTCTTTCTCTCTCTCTCGCTCTCGTTCGCCGTCAAACGCACGAAACTTGCGAAGCAGCTTTGACTACCTCAACGAGACGGCGAGTGGGAGGAAGCATTGTCACAAGAAAAAGCACTAACGTCGCGAAACAATGCGCCGAGAAAGTGCCGCCTGAGCTAGTTTCAGTCTCTTTACGATCCGACCGCGCGCCGCGATGAGGTTTGTCAATAAAAAGTTGGAGTCGTGAAAAAAAAAAGAAGATAGAAAAATTGCGCCGTAAAGAGACGCGCGGAGGAGACGAGGGACGTCCGAGAGGAGCCACGTTCGCGACCTGTTGCGACCGATTTTTCCTCGAATCGATGAGCGACGGACTCTCTCGTTGGAATAAATTAATGCGCGGTCGAGGCGGTTGCGTTACGCGAGCGGAATTACAAAGATCGAAGATCGGTTGCGACGCGAAGCCACGCAACTGCCACATTGTACATGTAGATCGTGCACGCGGTTGCAGATACGCGGGCGAACGGACACGTCGCTGCGTGATAGAACGCGCTTCCCTGATGACACGCACACGTGTGGTTAGCACGCGACGAGCTGCATTGTGAGCTGCGCCTAATCATTAGCCACCGCAAATGGACATATGGCTTCCTTGCGCACGTTAATACGGCGCAGGCCGACGTACGCCCGCGTACTTCCAACTACGCCGTCTTTCCCCCCGCGAGGGAGGGACCGAGGGAGGAAGAGAAGCACGCCGTACGTGAAACAACGGTCCCACGGCGGACATATTAATCTCGCGTAGCGCAACGCCGAGACCGGGTTCGTCGATCCCCGGGTACCAACGGCGGGGCGTCGAAGGGCGCACCTCTCGAACTGACCAGCGTTTTTTGTCGATTGATTGGACGAGCGCTCGCGTTGGCACGGACATGACGAATTTCGCTCGGTGTATCATCGAGCGTAGCCGCGAAACCTTTGCAAAATTAAACGGACGCCCCGAGATATGAGTTTTGACTCAATTGACAGGTCGCCGGGTTTTTTTTCGCAGATGCGATGTTTGTCGGGTTGCCCTCTCTTTTTACGACGATGTGCGATTCTATCGAACGGCGAGAGCTTGCGAGAGGAATAACACTCTCGGGTATTTTGCGAGTTCCCGCGGAATTACGACGACCTCGAGCGAAGCCGTTTGCATAAGAATCATTAAAAACCAAACGAGATCGATTGGGCGGTTTGCTCATCTATTGACTACGGCATGTCGGCGTCGTGGACCCGTTTGAAGATTCAAAGTGTACGATCGTGTTCGCATTATACTCACAGATGCGAGCGCATCGCGTCTCGTGTCGCCGTCGTACCTTGTGTCATGCATATTTTCTCCCTCCCATCTCGTATTCTTTTCACATTCCTCGGACGTCGTTATCAAGGAGTATCCGGGTCTATCAGTCATACTATTTGCATGGGCCCCGTATCAAATTCCGTCTCGATAATGCGAGGAACGGAGTGCCGCGGCACGGGGAGATCGAGCGAATTTTTCGGTATAGGTAGATGCGCGCACGGTCTCGGCAAGTCGGTCAGAACCGAACAAGTCGAGCGCTATCGTCGTCGTCGTCGTCGTCTTCGTCAGCGCGCAAATATTGGCCGAGTTGTCCGACACTGTCAACCGAAATCGCGTCGCTGCTCTGCAATTAACTAGTCCGTTATCGAGCGGCTGGGGAAACTCGGAGGGGTTAATTAGAGGTGATAAACTCGCAACCGCGCGCTTCACAAAACAGTCGATAAATTTCGATCGCTCGCAATTCTCATCGTCCCCGGGCGTTGACCGTCGCGTACGCGTCGCCGCCACACGCATTGTCGTGTATCGGCCGCGTAATAATTCGCGCGGTAAATTTCGCGGAAAATCGCGTCCAAGTCGCGTTTCGGCAATCCGCACCGTCTCGCCCGCGCCTATGTGTAAGTTACGGGAAAGAACCGTCCCCTCTCTCGGCCGCGCGGAAAGGGCAAAGAAAATAGAATTCCGGACAATTGCGCGCATCGTGCTCGCGCGGAATAACAAACAACCCGTTCAATCCTTATCTCCTCGACGGCGAGAGAGCCGGCGATCGGGGAGCCGCGCGCGTTTTCTGGCAGCGAGACGGAATCCTCGATGACACGATAAAGAAAAAAAGGAGAAGAAGAAGAAGAGCACGCCGGAATCCCGTTCAAAATCAATAAAGTTACCCCTACCGAGTAACCCCCCGCGGAATCGAAATAAAACGACTCGGCGATGTCGCCGAGTGGCGGTGCCGTGTCTTCCGACCCCCGTTCGAGGGGGAAGCAAAGGTAGAGGGGCCCCGCTGACTCGCGGGTGGCGGCGTCGGCGACGACTGGCCTTTATTATCCGCGTCGCACCGAGATGCAGGGAGCAATTTTCCCCGGTTTTTCGTCTCGTAAATCGCGTCAAATTATTCAGGTATGAATTTTGATTGGCCGCCAAACGTAACCGTCGGAATTTATCTCATTTGCTGCCGCGGAGCCTCTCGCCTCGGCGCCATTTGCAAAAAAATGTCGAGAAACCTCCTACGCGCGCGATACATAATGCAAAATAAACGCAAATGTTCCTCCTGACTGATTAAAAAGCTCGTCGGTTTACCTTTTATAACATCGCGTTGTGAAATTCGATTGTTCCGACCCTCCTTCCCTCTCGAGCAATACGTTTAAATGTATTATCTGACGCAGCAGTTAACTAAACTCTAATAGACTAATTATCTCGGCTGCTCTTCACCGAGGAGGATGTTAAGACTGACGAAATTACGAATAAGTTTTCAGCAAATTGCTAAACAACATTATTCCGCGCGTTGCGCGAATTATACAGGCGCTGTGTGGAATTTGTTAAATTCGTTCCGGCTAATGATAGCAATAGCGCAAAAATACGCGGTAAATAAAAACTATCTCTCCCTCCCTCCCTCTCTCGCTCGCCCTCTCTCTCTCTCTCTCTCTCTCTCTCTCTCTCTCTCTCTCTCTCTCTGGATTATTATCTGCCTTGATTAATTAACTGGTGTACGCCACTGGAAAAGTATAGCCAGTTAAAACCGTAGAGAGAAGTAATAATAGTTTTGTAAAAGCGTTTTCACTCTTATTACTTAATTTTATTTCACGTGCGGTCGCTATTTTACGTATGATTATCGTTTCAATGAATTTTACGGTGATAATCATTTAAGTTATCAAGGAGAATAATTGCGACAATTCGATTAGCTACAAAGTAACGCGATATTTGCTGAATGATCATCTACTGAGTTTGTCACTGGCTTTTCGAATATGTTAGTGATAAATTAGTCCAACCGGGGGGAAAACAACGATGCACGAGCCCGTTTGAAGAGAAACAGAAAGCCAAGTGCGACGGAAGAGGAAAGTGACGGCACTCGAAACTCGAGCACTCACTGATTCGAGGCGAGACAAAAGCTCGGTCGTCGGTCGGTCGGCTACGTTCAGTTTTGTTTCTCGCGAAAACGTAACGAGCCACTTGGCCACGTTGCATATTTCAGAACAGGCCAACTAGTCAGCCAGCCGAGCCAGCCAGGCCGAGCCCTTCGCTCGGGAAAACCCGGACGAGCGTGGAGCTCGTTATGTAAAATCCAGGCCACAATGTCGGAGAGAAATCGCTAATTAAAGGGGACTTAATTGTCGTTCCATCGGGCCACGCCGCTTTGTTGCCGTCCTCGCAGCGGAGAGGAACAAAACGATCTTCTCTCGCTGATACGAATCCTTAAATACCAATAACCCGCGTATCCCGCGCAACGCAAATCTACACGGTGTCCGAAGCATCCGTCCGAGGGATTTTACGATACGCGCGACTCGTCAAAGTTCCCTTGTGCCCGTAATTAAACTGAGAGAGTTTTGAATACATTATAAACAGACTCGCTTGAAAGTTTCGAGCTCTCTGTCTCTCGCTTCGTTAATAAGTTAATATACGCTTTAAAGTCCATAAACCGATCGCAGTGTTTGCGTTCGCGAAGGCAAAACTTGGCGATCGCCGATGAATTGTTTATAAAATAAAAGCTCCGGGAGAGCCCCCGACGAAAGGATGGGCTGGATTTACTTCCAAGCCGTTGGCGCCGCTACTTTGAGACGTTGTATCAATTGATAAATTAAATATCCGATACTCGGTAAGCTGACATGTAGTTTGAAAACGTAAAAGGATTTCAGCGACAAGAACGCTTTTTGCCCTCGCTCAGCTTCTTCGCTCTTGCGTTTACGTTACTCGCGTGTCGTTTTGCATTTCCGATTCACGCGGCCGTCTCTCGTGCAAGATCGCACAACCGTGCCGCGAAATAGCTGTTAACCGAGGCCGCGGAAAACGCGTTATGTCATCTTTAATCACGAGTCATGAATAAATATTGAGAAAGAGTGACTCACCTCGCGGAGCTCCTTGATCTTCAGACCCCCTTTGCCGATGATGCATCCCGCCTGACTCTGATGCACCAGCATGCGCACGTCTATCTCGTCACTGCCATGACGAGAGCCGTTCTGAAATCGTGTCTATAATAAATCGTGGGAATTTCACGATACACTACCCGGTCCGGGGCGGAAGGAATCGATCGTCGCGATCCCGAACGAGCGGAATTATGCGTGGTCTACAATACGTGGAGTAAGCGTGGAGTAAGGAGTAAGGGAGAGCCCTAACTTGTAGCTTTTGGTGTAAGGTAGCTGAAATACGGGCATAATTTTTAAAATATTTGTAACACTGATTGATGGCATTCTGATTCACCGAGAGTAAGCCTATGAGCTGAAGTAGGAGTAAGAAATAAAATGGATTTATTTCCTTACTCCTACTCCTTACTCCATCTTACTCCATGTATTGTAGACCAGCCTTTAAAGAGATGCTGGAGTGATTCTGCACTTTCGGCACCTTTTCCTCCTAAAACTGTCAATTCGTGAAAGCATTCGTGTACGAACCGACAGTGTTCCACTATTCGGATTAAATCAGAGAACAGCATGGTGATTGAAAGTAAGTTTAGAAGCCTAATAAAAATCTATTCACTCGAATGAGTTATAGGTTACCTAACCTATAACTCATTCGAGTGAGTAGACTTCTTGCTAAGCTCCTAAACTTAATTTCAAAGATACCATGCTGTTCTTTCACTTAATCTGAATAGTGAAACACTGTCGGTCTGTAGACAAAAGCCACATAATTTGTATATTACACAAATGCTTTCGCGAATTGACAGTGCTCGTAGCAAACGGTGCCGAAAGTGCAGAATCACTCCAGCACCCCCTTAAGGGGAGCGCGAGGTATCGCGTACAAACGATATTCGAGACAGGGCGGACGAGGGTGGGAGTTTAGTCGCTTACCTCTTCCAGATTAGGTACGACCTCGTTCAAGACTTGGAGAACAGTGGGCAGGTCCGAACTGATGGTGAGCACCCTAGAATCAGAAGAAACCCCAGAATTATACTGTCCTTACTGCCGCGTGCTTTCGCGTACGTGCTATATCGACCATACAGCCCCGTGCGAATGACGTACGTGCGTACGAGACGCGCTCGCGTGTGATTACATCAACCAGCGATGCCACCCCCTGCCCGGCCCCCTCGCGCGCGCGTATTTCGACGTCACCCGTTAGAGCGCTTCGAACGGGAGTTGAAGTGAGTGAGGCGTCGATGAAATTCCAACACGATGGAGCAGAAAGTAATTAAATGCGCACGGCTCGATCGGAGCTGGATGTATACATGGTGCGTCGCGTCTAGTCCTCAGCGACGTTACGAATGTTTATCATATACCCCGCGCGCGTTCGTGTCTCTCCCGTACGTTGGACCCGACGGAGTTACAACCGGCACCGACGATGATACAAAATGTCGCGCGGTAAAAGGCAATACGCAAATTTAACGACAGCCGCGTGTCGCGCACGATACTCGTCGCACGCGACTACAAGATCGATCTCGAACGCGGACGCGCGACCGCCGAGTTAACACCATTCTTTGTCAACTGCAACGTACAGTGGATTTCCGGATTAACGAGTCTCCGTCGAAGCGCCGCCGTAAATCTTGAACCGCGCGATAAATCCGGGCCGCCGAGGGCATCTCGCGAGCGTTTCGCAAAAATTACGAGCGTTGCTAGGGCGGCGTTAAGGGATTCAGATTTATCGCGTTACACGGCAAATCCGAGCGCGACGCGTATCGACAACGCGCGCCGCGTTGCGCGAGAATCGCGTGGAACCGCGTGCAATCGCGGCCACGGCGATCGACCGTAAGCTCGAACTAGATTCAGCCTCAACGGTATTTTCCCGACCTACATCCATTCAGCCGCAATCGTACCGCGCGATCGGAACGATCGCGTCTACGTCCGTCCCCACCGGGGCGAATTACGCGTCGCGGAATCGCGGAAAACACCCCCCTGCCGGTAATACGCACGCGGTCCAATTCCGCCGATAGCAATCGATATCGATCCGCTTCCTCTTTCCGGCCGAATCGTCGCCGCTCGGCGGCACGAGAGAACGTAGAAACGGGAGACACCCCGAGCATCGTCGACGTCATCCCCGCGCAAAGCGTACAATTGGTTTCGGCGGTCCAAGAGTCCCGAGGTGTTTGCAGCTGGCTCTGCCGCCGAGCCGCTAATTCGAATACCACGGAAATTGATAGACGGCTTACTTATTTCTCTCCCCTTCCTCGATTGGTATTCAATACGTTCAGAGTTTTCAAAGGGGGACGGTGGTATCCGGGCATCCCTCCCCCTACGACCTTAAGAAGCGCACCGAGAGTTCCCGCTATCATCTCTCACGATCGAGAACAAACACGGAACTTTTCGGTACGACGGCACGAATCCACCCCCAGCTAATACGAGGGAATACACGGAGAGGCCGGTCTCTCCCTTCGTCTTTCCGTTTCTTCCCCTCCCTTCTCGTCGTCCACGTTCGTTCTACTTTCCCGCTGCAACGAGCTGCCGATGCCACGTATCTTCCATTCGACTGGACACACATATCAAATTCCGCGCGCGCTTTGTTCGACATTCTACCGGTTCCGCGAGAGAAGCATTCGGTCGGCGAATGTAATCCGCGGTTATTCGCGCTCTCCTCGAGAAACTAATCGCCTCTCTGCGCAACGCGATTGCGGGGGTATCGCGCTATGCGACTCCGACTAGCTTCGCTTCCGCAATCCTGTATATTTAAAAATGCAATTGTTGGTTACGTGTTAATTTGTTATTCCTTTTCCTAGGAGCGTGCACACACACGCCCCTAAGAATCTCCTAGCCGGTGACGTTCTCGACGATTGGCGAAAGCTGCCATCACCCGTTATGAGTCTTCCTATTTAACCCAGTTTGAGGACAAAACAGGACGGTTACACTGATCAACGTCGTTCGGCGAAGAACGGCAATCCCGGTTAAGGGAGTCGAGATTGAGATACGTACTTCGCGCAAGTTGATCGGTGCGGCACTGTCTAGAGAAGCTCTAGTAACGATGGATCACGGCGTTACGGTACGAAGAAGGAACAGTTATGGGGTTGGCTGGTCGAAAGTCATCCCTTTGAGAACCGCAGGGGACGCGCGCGTACCGAGATTCGCGGGAGGAGAGTTGAGATTATAGTATAACTAGTATGCCCACCCTGCCATTTGTTTTGTTTTGCGTCGATCCTTTCTGCGTATCCGCCATTATTCTGGTGGATGCCAATGAGACGGATACTGTATATGTGGTAGTGTGAAATCGGTGTGACAGGGTCACAGGATTTTATACCAAAACCATCCCTTATAGAAATGTAAGCGAAATAATTACTAGAAAATTACTGTACATCAGTAATTTCTAATAATTTAATTACTGAACTCTAGTAATTGTTCAGTGCTTCTTTCATTCCCAGTTGTTACATTTCTGTAAGAGATGGCGGAATACCACATGATCAAAACCAAAAAGATCAAAGGAGAGAGAGTGGGCATACTAGTTATACTATGTTATGGCGTTCGACGCGGCTCCACAACTGGGATGGAAAAAGGAGGAGATACACTATCGGCAGTTAGAGATCTCCATGGTGCATAAAAGGTTGAAGAGCGCTCGGACGACTCTAAGGTCGGACGGCTCAATGTTTTATGAGGGCCACGGTTCTAAGGGAAGCGTAGAACAAACATATCTGTGAGGACTTTGACCGTCTACGCGCGGCGCGATACATGGTCTTGTCTTGAGAGAGCAATCGGGTAACAATGTCGATTTGTCGATCGCGCAAAGAGTAAAAATCGCGCGAACGAAATGATATCTTTTAAAAGAAACTTTTAAACGAGCCGTTAATACCGAGACTCGCGAAACTTTCTCAAGGATTTCTTTCCATCTGCATTGTATCGAGAACAGATCGCCGGCGATCGTAGTCGTGCGAATTGTTCCTCCTCGACGTCGAGGTACTTTATCACCGCGCCGGCGAAATTCCCGGCCGTATCGGTACAGCCGCGAATGAAAATCGCATTAGGGACATCCTCGAGGAGCTTCGCCGTCGGCGATAAAAAAATTTATTGCCGTCCCAGGACGAAGATAAATTTTCCGTTAATACCTGGCGCCCGCGCGCGGGCGACATAATTTCTTAGGAGAGGAAAACGACACCGAGCGTGCGGATCGAGGCGTGACATATATCTAGCGTAATCATCAATAATCGACCGTGACGAAGTAGATGATCGAGTATAATAACCGGTCTAAGTTATCATTGGAGTATCTCGTCTCCGATGGGATTCGCGTAAACGCGCGCGGCACTGATCCTCAGCGCGAAATGTCGGTAATGACTTTCGACTTGGCAAGTTAATTAATCACGTCGGAGTACTAGCGGGACAACCACTTATCGGGGCGGAATATCTAAAGAGCGAAGGTATTTTGTCGCGTTGAAAGAGCGTAGGTCTGAGCCGCGCGGACGAAATGACGCTCGTCATTTCGTCATTACGACTATCCGAGATTTAAGCTGTCGCATTGATTGCGGTTGAAATGAGAGACATTACGCGACGTTCTCTTTCGAGTCACTTGACGCCACATCTGACTTTTCAACGCGATAACAACACCTCGAGTCGTAACCCTTAACACTGAGCCGGCCTTACGGCCGCGTGCGTCACACACCACATTTTAGCTTCCGTGTTAGCCACATATTACAGACACCGTTTAGAACATATCCCGACATCGTACGTGTGTGTATAAACGTGTGTGGGTGTCGAGTGATATCGCACACGTCTGGTTGCGTGGCGCTTACGCAGGATAAACCAACAAATAACAAATTAAACGAAAAGGGGTAGGCGTGAGGGGGGGGGGGGGAAAAGAAATGAGTGAAAGTCCGTATGTGCGCTTAGGAGATCAGCGAAACCCTCGGAGCACGCTGATCGTACGTAAAGTACACACAAATCCGCAACTTTGCGTGGACGGTGACGCGCGTATCCAAAAGTTAAGAAAAACAGAATCTGCGAAACATTCTTTTACGTGTCCTCGCATATTTTTGCAAAATTCGCAACGGTGAATTTAATAGCGACGTAATTTCTCTTTCTCCCGCTGCAGGATTATGCCAGATTGAGTGAAATCGGTCCGACTCGCGAACGGTCTCGCGAGAGATTCGTCAGAGACGATTCGCGCGACCGCGTGCCAACGACAGGTGCAGCACGCGCTACGTCGGCTCTCGCTTGTAAGACCACCGATTTCTCACCCGAAGCCGAAGACGCGCAACGAGCCGCTATTGACGACGCTTAAGTCTAATAGGATATCGACTTCTCTCGATATCGTTCGCGACAATTATAAGAAGAAAAAAAAGAATTTCTGCAAGAGTAAGATTCAAAACGACTACTGTACAGTAAAACGTATCTTTTGAAATGTCTCTCCAATACTTTTCATGCGATGATACAGTCAAGAGGACACGCATAAGAGACGAAATGAGAAACGAGAAAAAAAAGACACGAATGAAACACGAAAGTAGACGACGGAAGTGTTGGATAAAATGGTCGCCGTGTTAAACACATAATATGCCGATAAAATGAAAAGACGGAAAAAACAGACAGATTAACAGAAATAGGTGGACGAACAGACAGAAAGACAGATTTCTAGACAGATAAACAGATAATTAGATAGATAGAAGAAGAGAAAAAAGAGTAGTAAGTAGTAGTAGTAGTAGTAGTAGTAGTAGTAGTAGTAGTAGTAGTAGTAGTAGTAGTAGTAGCAGCACGATAGAGATTACGAAAGGTGGAAATAGTAGTGGTGTATACAGAAAGTAGAGTATACAGAAAAAAAAAGTAATCGCCGCACTCGCCGCAGGCGTCTTAATAGGTACCTCGTAATTAGAGACAAAGAAAAATAAGAACATTAAGTAGTTGGTGTTGGTCATTACCGTTCGGGTCCGGGGCAATCGGGTACAATGATTGAGGCTTTGTACTGTCGATTGGGCCGTGGTGGTTGGTGGTTGGTTCATTGGTGGTTGGTTGGTGGTTGTTGTCGATTGTTGGTAGGGTCGTGGTGGTCCATTTGCCGATCGAGTCGGGGTCCGTCGTTCCGGGCAGGGCAACGGCAGGGCAACGGCAGGGCAACGCCAGGGGGGCAACGCCGGGGTTGGGGCGGGGCCAGGGCACAAACCATCAACCAAGTTAGACATCACGTCTGACGGCTGGATTAATTCGCGGCTTAACCTCCTAACCCGATTTTTCCACCCGCGCTCCGCTCTCCACGTCCACACAACCTATCCCCTGTTTTGTCCCACCTAACACCTCCCTCCCCCACCCTCCCTTACGTCGTCGGATTGGCTGCGAGGGGGCGAGAAAAATATTGGCACGGAAAAATGAGGTCGAGCGACGAGAATCGCGTGAGAACGGACACATCGCATTCTTTTATATATACGTATATATAGGAAACCATAGCGCGTTTCTTTTTTACATGCGATAAGCCTGCGAGTATTCGATTTAAACTTGAGGGCCGATGAGAAAGTCCGCCGATTCTTTCACGATCGTAATACGATTGGCGAGAACTCGCCAAGTTACGGACGAGACACTTCCCCCCCCCCCCTCTCTCTCTTCGAGCAAGCGCTTAGTCAACGAGACGTACTTGTATCATCCCGGCGAAGCCCGCGCCGCTCCCTTCCTCACCCCCGAAGTCATTAAGAATTCTGAAGGCGTACTCGAATAATTTTCCTGTCCCGACGCGGCACTTAATTGACGCCGCCCTACAGCGCGGTCCGTAGAATATTTCAATTGCTAACAAAGTGCGCTAAACGCCGTTAATCAAGCAAGTTTTTAATCTTTAAACGAAGAGGTCTATTAACTAACCCGTGTAACTTACGGGTGAGCCCGGTACGTAACTGATAACCGTACGGAAAGTTTTATCGACGCGAGCCTGAAACTTCCGCGACGAAGCGTGGACGTCGCGATAGACAAGCGCGATAGTTGGGCGAGTTGGCGCGAATGGAAATAACTTTGCCGTCCGTTCGCCGATGCGCAGACAGGAAAATCGTCGCGAGGCGTAATAAGTTACGTCTTCCGAGGAAATTTGTAACCATTATCTTTTGATACACGACGCAATTCATCCGTCCAACGTGTTGCGCGAGTAAAGTTAGTCCCGCGCGTGATTCTCCAATATTTTTCTAAACGCGACCGAGGCAGCCCTTTAACGTCAAGCTTTCTGTCGCCCATGGAAGTTTGCGTAGCGTCCGCGTTCGAACGATGAAACTCCACAAAGCGGCGGGGGATTTCGCGTAAGGAGGGTCCCGTAGAAACTTGCCGGGAAGGCAGCGCGAACTAAAAGTGAATCGCTAAGAGATCCTCTCCAGTGGTTCCCTCGGATACAGCACTCTTCGGAAATAACGACCGGAGCGTTGTGCCATTTACCAGGCAAAGTGAACTTGAGACTGGAGCTTCCGATATCTCGCCGTATTAAACGATCCTTTCAAGCTGTCGGACTAATTGAATATCCGTTATTATACCGATAATCGTACCGCTCCATTTGCTCCGTTCGGTGTAGCTTTCACTGATTGAAAACAAGGGCTGACTAATAACGCGAATGGCGAATCGAGTTCGTTACACTCGAGATCTACAAATTCCAAGATATATCTCGCGCGTTTAATGACATAATCTCCGCGGATCGTCTCGCGATAATTCGTCCGAGGTAACTCCTCGTTAATTGCCGCTTCCCAAAGTGCTGTATCCAATTTTCCGTCTTGAGGATACGCAGCCGCGTGGAATCTCGCTATTCTAGCAGTACTGTGACTTCGTCTCCGTACCCTCTCTCTCTCTCTTTCTCTCTCCTTCTCTCCCGTTTTTATGTCAGAGGAATTACGCAAATCGTGGCTCATCGAGAGAAGGACGCGCTCGTGCGCCAGTGCACCCGAACGAAGGACGTGCGTGCGCACGGAGCGTTCTCGGACCGGACGTACTTGGCCAGTCCGGGGTGTCAAAATCGTGACCGAGATCCTCGAGTGATTTGCCACGGCATTGCAATCGCACGATTAAAGTGCGACATCTACGCGACTAACGCGATACCGTGGGTCCCTCCCACTGAACAAGTGCGCTTCAACATCGCAGCTCGATACTACGGCTGAAATTGCGTTGAAACCCCCACCGTAACTCGCAGATATGGTTAATGCGAGTAACGTAACGGTGTAAACGCGGAACTTATTAGCAGTGACGAATATCTCGACGGATGTGTTTCTGTTCAGTATATCGTCGCGGATCATCGACGTTACACTCGTGGCGAGTCGAAATGACGGCAAAATCGGCAGACGTCCTTCCGAGGCATCCCGTTTCGCAACGGCATGCAACGGTTTCGCGGACACTAGTCGGTATCTGCCGATTTTGCGACGATGGAACTGCGACTGATTGGTCGTCGCGTCAACTAATTGGCTCTGAATTGATTGTGAGTCACAACACTGACAAGATCAGTCTTAATTCGCGGGATGCTGAGGTGTACTTGCACTTTCATGTACTCATTTGGTTCAAGCAGAGCAACGAATCTCCCGGCCGCTTGTCAAAGCACGACCGAGAAATTCTCAACGCGTAGTCCAACGCTACGTTGCATTAACGCGACGTTAACGTAAAAGTAGCGCGTGATGTATCGACCATCGCGCCAAGACGAGAGGACTCGTCCACGTCGACATCCCCGTCGACACTTCGTAAGAGGGACGAGTTCTTTCGCCATCGATCATCGCGAGCGTGCACAAAATTTCGCGTGTCGCTCTTAAAATACGGCGCGAGGATAAAATCGAAGCCAGCGACGGCCGAGGCTTCCTTGCAACCAACGAGTAATAAATGTCTCATGAAACATTGATACGCGAGATAGACGGGAGACGAGGAACGCATCCCGCCTTTCAAGGAACCAAATGCATAATGAAGCTCGTACGAATACGAGGCGTCTTTGGAAAACGAGACGAGCGCCCGGCGAAACAAATTTTCGCGACAAAGCCTTTTGTGTGCGCGCGGCTCCCGTGCCTCGCTCTTTACACAAATTACATGAATCTTCGCGTATCAACCCTTTACCGCGCGCCATAATTACATAAACCATAATTATATTAGTTTCAAACGAAGTTAAAAGGCTCCAGGGAGCTAAAGGGTTAATTACGTTACGGGCACTCGTGTCATCGATCCATAGACAGCGCACAAGAAAAGTAAGATGCAAGCCGCGCAAGCCTTCGATTAATATCGGCTAGTCGCCGGGAAACACCGACGGACGAAACAAAAATGACTCTCAATCAACTGAAAATCCGACACATAATTAGAACTGAACATAAACGTGTAGTCGGAAGATACGTAAAAACGCATTGTCTCGTAATGAAAATGCGTGCTTCGTAACACGTCTCAGAAATCATTTTTACCATCTTCCGCTCGATTATTTACACGATCCTTGTCTTTCGCTATCACTTTTACACCTGCTCACAGCTAGGAGTTTCGCGAGTAGATAGACAAAGACAGGGATGAAACTACTAGCGAAATTACGGGCGGATCAAAGCGCAAAAGCTTACCTGACTTCTGAGTTTCGTGATGTTCTGGCCACCCTTGCCGATTATCGAACCGGCAACCTGTAACACAAACACAATAAAGCTTAGCTTCAAACAAATAACGATTATCGGGCAAAATAAATATCTTCAATCTGTGGAAGACGGTTTCGCGGAGAAATCGCGGATCGAAGGAGGTTTCCGTGAACAAGTATCCAGTCAATAATTGCAGTATAGTAACAAGCATACAAAACCATACTTCACAGCCGGTAGTTTTTATCGGGTTGAACGTCAAGTGCACTCCGACTTTGCGACACGAACCAGCGTAAGGTTGCCGGATGGCGTAAGCCCCGGACTAGAAAGTCGGAGGTCAAGTTGTACGATTTCTCGTATCAACTGCTTTTTGAAGTTCGCGACCGGGCGATCGGCAGATTTAAGCCTCGCGATTCGCTCGGAACAAGACCGGTCGCGCCATTTACAATTTGGCGAGCGCGTTGATGATTGACGCGCCAAGTTTTAAACACTCGCAAATATTTCGCATCTAAACTTCCGCCGAGATTACGGGGCGGCTGTGTACCCGGATGGTCTTCTCGATCTTTGTAACGTTAATTAAACAGGTCTCCCCGTCGGAGGCGTAGCCGGCACAACGGCAAATATTTAATGGGCGAAAAATCCGAAAGTAAGAATCCACCTCGCGGCACGAACAGGATGAAATACGGAAATTCCATTCTTCCGCGCCCCGGCAGCGTCAACATTTCGCTTTCTCCAGGCTCCCGTCCGATGCCCGCGGTAAAGGAACACCTCACGTCCACTTCTAGTTAGACTCTTAATTTTACCGAGACTTCCGGCACGCGTCCGCGCGAGGCCACGGGCGTCGTTTCTCGCGGAACGCGGGAGGTAATTGCGACTGCGGATTTTTGCGGATTAGTCGCGCCGCCACGCGTCTCATCGCGGCCAGCTCGCGCTACCTTTAACGACAGATTCCGACGGTTAATTAAATAAGCTCTAGCAACGCGTCTGGCAATTAGCACTTTCTCCTTTGCGAGAAGGCGCGTCAAGGACGCGCCTCGATGCGCGCGGCATATTATGACATAGGCGCCCAGGAATGCAGTCATTTTCATCCGGACGGCGGCGTTCAGCCTCCGCTCGAGAGAGTATTCGCGGTCGGAGCGGAAGGAACGATCGGTGGAGTCCTCCGAAGACGTCTCGTCCGCGTACGCGAAATCGACATGGTTTTGTTCCGCCAAAATCGTCGCCAATTTCGCCAATTTCGCGACTTCTCCAAGGCCGCGGCACCTATTGGCAATGCTGTTGCCGGTCGTCCCTGACACAACGCCGCGCACCAATGGCAGCGCGCGATGATATCGTCGATTACGTAGTGAGATTCGACCGCGATCAAGCGCGACGAACCGCACGCTCGTGCTCGACCGGCTGGATCGCTATAAGGCGCCCTCGTCGATTAAATCGCACGCATCGCGGCGCACCACCGTGACGTGTAGCGCGCAACACTACTCGCTCTTGACGTCCCATTACGAAATTAACAGGCGCGATTGCCGTTCCAGGGCCTCTCGCGATCGCGTTGCGTGCCGCGGGGAAGGTCGAGTCTCTCGCGAAAGTCGAGCAACACCCCGCCGAATTCGCCAATTTCCCTCCCCATTCGTCAGCGGGCGACCAGTGCGATAATTAAGGGAGACGCTGTATCTTCGTCGCGCGCCGGCTATCATTTCACGCGACGTTGGGTTTTTTCGGGCGTTCGCGTGCCGGCGAGCGATGACGGCGCGCTTATCTGCGGCCGCCTCGTGACGATCGGTCATTCGATTCAATTAAGCTTATTAGCGAGCGCGAGGCGCAAACGGTTTACGGGATTATGTTAAGGACAACAGCGAGCCGGAATTATTTCGATAATTGGATGGACCTCGCGTCGCGCGAAGCGGAACTCGCGAAATTGGATCGTGTTGCCGCGAGAGAGACCGAGAGAGAGAGAGAATCAAGCCCAAAAAATATCGATGTGTCACATCGAACGAGATCGCGAGGAGATACGAAAGAGGAGGGAAAAAATATCATCTCCCATCGGTCGGCTTCAGAACGTTGCGCGATAGAATCTTCGGCAGCCTCCTCCGAAAATACGTCAAACAAAGGAAGCGTAAGAGAACGAGTGCTTTACTGCTCCCTTCGATATTCTCAATGCTACAATCAATCACTAGCGAGCGAAAGGAGGTATATAGATAGACCTCGATTCACGATATTACTTCTCTCCCGATGCCCTCGAAAGCGGGCGGCAGCGGCGCGGCGCGGCTGCAATCGCGATATTCGCCCGCTGCGCGTCTTATTGTACCGCGGAGGAAATGGTGGCGCAAGAAAATATCCGCCCAGTCGAGAAACATCCGGTCTGACGATATATGGGCCGATAGAGACGGACAACTCACGGCACTGAAGGCAACGGCGTCCGCCCCGGGCGGCGCGGACGACGGGCATTTTCGTCGATCCGCCGAAACTCTACCGGGGTCTCGGACGTTTGCAGATTCGCGGGGATTTCCCGCGGGGGAAAGAAAGCAGCCGAGAGAGAAACCAATAACGGTCCGCCGAGCGTGGCGACAATGACCGGAAGAGCCCCGGCTGTCCGGGCGATGAAAACGGACGTGTCGGAAGGTGGTACCGCGCGCGGACGCAACGGCGAGGTGAGCCCAGGCTGGGCACGCGTGACTGGAAAATACAGTGACCCAGTGGCGAAAGCACGTGGGAAGCGCGTCCGACCCGTTCGCATTGTGCGCTGGAACGCGGCGCTACGCGTCCGTCCGAGAAACGGAGAAGGCGTTGCCCGACGACCGGCCACATATCCGATCGTCGTCGACGATCGCGAACTCGGGGAAAACGGTACAAAACGCTTCCTCGTGCGAGAGACGCGAACGTAAAGTCGAAAACCAAGAGGAGGCAGCGTCGTGCCGCGAAAACGGGCGGAGGAAACGCGACATAGTCTTCAAAGCTGTCCCACGATTTGCACATTTTGGCAGGTTTTCGCGAGTCACCGCCTATTACCCCTACTCGAGTCACCTAACAACCGTAACCAAGCGCGCGGCGCTCAGCTTCAGGTACGACGTATCTGTGTAGTCCGATGCGCGCCCCTTTACTGCCAAATGTCAGTTTCTGAAACGTGATTCGTTAAAAATCTTTTTAAATAATTAATTCAATAAGAAACTTTCGTGTGGCGAGTGTGGAGCAGAGAAATGTGCGCCGCTTAGTGAACAAACGAATGAAAAGATCCGAGTTCAAATCCACAAACACCATTGTTGTTTTTTTTCGGAATTTTCCGAAGGAAAGTGGTAACCACCGAGAGTATTCTGTCACACGTATCCTTTTAAGGGTACCTTTGGCCAAGAGGCGTGCAACGGCATCGGAGTATAGGTACGCCGTACCCATAGACATAGTAAGAATAGACTGCGCGTTCCCTACCTCACCCGTGTGAAAACATGTACAAACTTTAGAACGAGTAGAGATAACTGGTGTTAAACAGTACAGAGACCCTGTAATCAGAGACTGGCCTTGTAAGAGTTCGTCAAATTCCGGCGAGTAAGAGAGAAACATGGGCTTTCTACGATCGTTCGGCTTACGACGAACATAGTTTGAACAGTACCGTCTTATCCTTTATCCTCTATCATTCCCCTACTCTTCTGTTATCCCCATTACTTCGCTAGACAAAGGTGAGGCTACACTGTTCTAGAAATTCTGTAATCGACAAAGGGATACGAATCAAAATAATCAAGATCAATCACGATAACCTGTCGTCTGTAAAACTATAAAAGTGAATTGCAATTGTCAATTCAAAATTCAATGGAAAAATCATAAACATGGCGAACCAATCAGAAACTGGATACCGCACGTCCAGACTTCTATTAGAGGGCCTCTAGTCGTACCTGAAGCCTGAACGCCGCGCGCTTGGTTACGGTTGTCAGGTGACTCGAGTAGAAGCTAATAGACGGTGACTCGCGAAAATAGGCCGAAATATGCAAATCGTGGACAGCTCTGTCTACGTAATTCGAGACAGAGTCTGTTTATAATTTTGCGTGCCGTGTGCAGCGTGAAATACATTTAAAGAAAACCGTGTATCGAAGCATGCATCGCGATAGAATTGCAAATAAAATTTTATACCGCTCCTAAAGTCTCTACGCGAGGTATAGCGATAGTTTCGCGATACACCGCGACGTATCGATCGACGGCACTCACCTTACTCGGGATGAGAAGACGAAGCTCATCGTCACCCTGTCGATAGCGCTTGTGGGGGCTTGTCGGACCCCCGGAACCTGTCATAGCGCCAGCCTCGGCTTCTCTCTTCATTATTCCTGAAACAGACAGATGAGAGATCCTTCAGAAAATATTCGTCTCCACCGTCGCGCCGCGTCGTACATCGTATCGCATCGCGGAGCTCGTCTTCGCGAGCGCGTGAATAACGCTGATGGCAGAAAACGATCCGTAAATGCTCAAGACCATCAGAGTCTCAGGCAGAGATGAGAGAACGAGCTGTAAACGCTTAAAGCCTCGTCTACATAAGAAGTCGTATAATTGTAGATAGGATCGCAATTTTAATGTCGTCTAGACAGAATCGCAGTTGTAAAATAAGCACTGTCTACATAAAGTTGTAAGAACCTAACCTTACGACAACTCGTGAATGCGTTTTTCTTTGGTAAAGTTAGGTTTGTTCTATCTGATTGGCTCGTTCTACAGTCGCAGTCGCAGGAATAGGAATTGGACCGACTTGCACGACTGCGACGACTATCTTGCGACCGGAAACTAACCTCTCAAGCGACCACCGATACGACTCTACGACGAGGCTTAAG